GAACCTAGCATACATTTGCACAAACTTAACATATCCTTGTACAACAAATAGTATAGTTTCATTATAACCTAGCGAAACCTAATTTAATTGAAGCAAGGCGATGCAGCAATGACTTTAAAAAGCAAGCTTAAATAGTTTTTTGTTGGATTTTATTTTTTCTTCTTTTAAATTGGAAACATTCTATTCTCGGTACTTCTTTGACAATAACTAACTAATATTTAACATGTATTCTAGATTGCTTTCGAAACGTTTTAATTGTCTTTAAAAGGAGTTGTTGTTTGCTAATAAAGCATTAAATAAGATTAACGGTCAGGGTAAAAAGTCTCGAAGGTAAAGTGATTTTTTTTTCAAACGTTACAAACGGTACAATAATCATAGTATATGTGCTGTTTTACATAAGCATGAAGGCAATGAAAGAAGAAAAGAGTTAAACACGTTTCTATTAAGGCGTCACGCAAACGTATTCACACCACGCACTGCAATAACTTTTATCTATCGCCTCAACAAAAGGAAAGAACAATAAACAGTTTTTGTGGCTGGAACATGTTTTGATTAGAATTATTTTTGCTGCTCTTTTAGTTTGTTTTTTTTTTTTATTATTTTTTGTAAAGTTTTTCATGATTGCTTCACGAAATTATTGTTAGATGTTTGTTCGAAGTCGACATTGATTAATTAATTACATGAATAAAAACGTTTAATGACGGGGGGTATTATTATGGTCTGAATACGATCCGAAAACCTGTCCTTATCAATTTCTTGTAATTAATCGTATCCAAAGATAATATATAAATGAAAACAAAAAAAAAAAAAAAAAAACAAAAAAAACTTTTAATAAAAATTTTTAATAAAAATTTTTAATAAAAATTTTTTGATTAAATTTTAATTTCCACTTTTTTTTTTTGGATTTTTTTACAGATATTCTCGCAAATCGGTTTGGTTGGATGTATTTGTAAAAATAAAAAATTGAAAATTTATTTAGTTACCCTTACAATATAATTTATATAATTTTAATATCTTGTTTTAATAAAATCCCAAATCGAAAATATTAAATTAAATTTATTAAATATAAATTTAACAAAAAAAAAGAAATAAAAACAAAAAAAAAAAATTTATACAAACAATTAAAAATCATGTTTAGTCCTGATTATGAGAAACGCATATTGAAACACTGCAGTCCGGTGGCTAGAAATCTTTTCAATTCTTTTGAGGCCGCTTCAACCACCTCATCACTGGATCGATTTATACCTTGCAGGTAAGTTTTTAATGCTTATATCGTTCTCTCTAAATAAATCGTATATTAACCTGGGGTTGGTTTACCTGCTTCTTCCCCTCCTTATCGAGAGCAAATCCGACATCGAATTTACATCGTGCTCGATAGCGTTCTTTTGTTATACGCATACCGATGATATCTTTCCTGTTATTCGTATTGGGCGATAGCTCCATAACAAGAACTGCAATCCGGCCCCTGAATCCCTTGTCATCATTATTGTTATAGCGTTCCCTTGTTCGCCTAAAGAGTTACGACTCTCTTTAAACGCAGTAGGCAGTGCGAAAAAGAACGGTAACGAACGGAGACGGGTGTGTATTGCGCGACATATGAATAACACCAGCTGAACCGGATCAAGACGCTTAGGGTCTTATTAAAGAATGCAGTAATTGGTGCACTTTTATCCTCCATACCTCTAAGCAGTGCAGATCGTATGCTACGACGACAGAGCCGCTTAACAGGGTCGAGAGTGTTAGGCGATTTGAAATTGAAGCTCCTATCGCGTGGCCCCTGTCTTCTATGTATTTTAAACCAGAATTTACACTTATCTGGCTGCAACTACTTTCCATTTCTTTATTTCCTTCTTTCACTTCTTTCTGTTCGCCACCGCATTATAAGTGTACGTGACGGACATCCCTTGAATAATTAGTTATAAAAAAAAAAAAATAAATAAAAAACAAAAGCCGGAATACTTGCGTTCATTGGAAACAGTTGGACTTCAAATTGGAATTCAAAAGCTTTTCTTCTTAGTCGTCGCACTAAGACGAATAAAATCATATAAGAAAAAAGTTAAAGTTACATTGCTTGACCCCTTACCATCAAACTGTAGAAAAAACTTTTATTTATTTATTTTTTTTTTGCATAAGCTGCACAGTTTTCAATGGTTAAGTGTTTCCGACCATAGCATTCTATGGCTTATGAAAATTTTTTTTCATTAAAAAGAAAAAAGATTGTTTTCTCAGTTTGCCTTTAATCCGTTAGTTGCGTAATTGACTTTCGAATGTTAGTCCCTCACACGTCTAGTGCGGAATTAAAATGAAACGTGTTGAAGTGTATAGGTTTCAAACCAAATAAAAATGATCGCGTGTAGTTGAAGGGGGGTATTTTAGATGCAATTATTTTAAGGCCTCTGTCCGCACCGTCCATTTTGTTATCATAATCAAGGATTACTTTCAATTTTCTTACTATATGATGCGTGTAAGAGGAATAACTCCTATATCACTCCTAAACTATGTTTTTATACCTTACCACCACTTATTATATGAAGGTATGTTAACTTTGTCCGGATGTATGCAACATTTAGAAGGACTCATCTTTTATTATACCGATTGGTACGAAATTACTTTTTGAATTGTTTTAATTTATTTTTGTCCGTCCTTCTGTCTTGTTTCTTTTTTTTTCTTCTGATTCAACCTATAGCCCTTAATATTTGCAATCTTTCGGTGAAATTTGGAATAGAGCAGACGACGGTATTGCTATTCGAAACGGTTCAGATCGAACCACTTTCTCGACTATTTCCCAAATAAAGTGTCGTTTTGAAAATCGTTATATGAATAACTATAGAGTGATATAGGAGCCGTGGTGCATTATAGTTTTTTTTTTTTTTTTTTTTTTTTTTTAATTTATAATAATATATCGTACTTTCCTGATATTATCAAGAGAACACGAATAACAGTAAATGAGATTTGTTTGTTTGTTTGATTTCAAATTTTCATAATTCGGATGACACACAACAAACGCATCAAAATGAAGATTCGAATTAAAGCGTATCGCGTTCGCGTTCACGTTATACGCAGTTAAGTGGTTAATACCTTTTCACGAAACCTTTAATTATCCTACATTTTTATCGTAATATTATGTTATGCTTCGTTTGTTTGTTAAGTTTTCCATCATTATGCCTTATTACCATCAAAGAATAGCAATGAGATTTTTTTCGCACCACCTGCATTTCATGATTATTTTGTTTTAAACTTAACATATTTCTTGTGCAAGAAATAACATGTAAAAGATGACGTAAACTTAGTTATTGTTGTACATTTAAATTGTAGCTACGCGATTAATCCCTAATATGCTAGAGAGTCAAAAATAAATTGCTGAGTTTGTTTTTCTACTACTGCTGCTACCACTACTACTACGACGACGACGACGATGACGATGACGATGACGACGATGAAACTCTTTTGCTTTGTTATAACATTCGTAGTGCATGGTGGTGTAATAATTTTTACATTTTCTTTGCAACTTTCAAACAAACATATACAAATACTTTTGATCAACTTAAGGCTTGTAGATTTTTGTTCAAAGTACTTGCACGGTTTACTAATAAATAAAAAACGCATCGCATCGGAAGTCTATCAGCACCAATTGATGCAATTGCGCCAACACATGACCAATCGTTATTGCATATTATAAAGTATTAAAGGAAAAAAAAAAGGGGGACTGCAGGAAGACACATTATAGGCTGATATATCCGCGTAAGGACGAACGATATTCTTACTTGCGACTAAGACCTCTCTCAATTGCCTGTTCTGACGGTCTGCACTTGTCATTCTCGTCGTGATATCCAAAATAAAAGAATAAAAAAAAAAAAAATAAATAAATAGGCCACGAGTAGATAACTTCAAAGGATCTTTCGTCCTTTTGTCCTTTTGGTACGAAATTATATTCTGTTGCTAACTAACATTGAGTATATTAATTGTATTTAGTTAAAGGAAAAAAAAAAAAAACAAAAAAAAATTAACAACTTATTTTTACATTTAAGTAAATATATATTTTTACCGGTATCGGTACATTCGGATCGAATATATAGTTTCGTCATAATGCTAGTAGTAATATATATAAATTTTTTTTGTTTTTCTATTTTTATAGTACTTTCAACCTTCCCTTCATATAAAATGTTGTCTATATTTAAATATATATATATAGTTTTTTTTTCTTAAAGGTCATATTATTATTATTATTATTATTATTTGACCCACTTTGCAAAATTTATTAAAACGTTCGCAATCGTTCATATAACCTTGTCACATATAAAACATAACTAATAAATCAGTAAAAAACGAAAAAGAAGAAGAAGAACAAATACAAAACAAAAATCTATTGCAAATCATTAGAATTCCAAACGTTTGCAAATGCATGTTGCACGTCTGAAAAATGATTGAATGGAATATGTGCGTATGTGATCAAACGTGATGGGCACAAATATATATATAACGTATGTTTTTTCCCTCATTTTTAAATCTAATGTTGTTTAATAAAGGTAAACAAAAAAAAAAAAAAAAACAAAAAAAGCAGAAGTGAAATGACGTGAATATAATGGCATTAGAGTTAATGCGAATTATTTTGCAAAATTATTATTAACAGTAAAATTAAACTTGCAAAGCGTAGATAAGAAAGAAGCAGGCAAAAGTCAAAGGAAGGTTAAATTCGGTTTTAAGCCGAACAATTTCTTACGCGGACGAAATTGTTTTGCAGTCTTCATCAAAAACCTTATTGTGATATAATTCGCAATTGCGTTTAATTATACCCTAGAACACGTGGGGTAAAGCGGACGGTGGATAACACGCAGAAGGGCTTAAGACAGACGCAACTTCTATTATACCGATCGATTCACAAAACGTAATGTGAATTAATATAAGCCTGTCTGTCCGTCCATGTAACCATTTTGTTCAAGCTACAGTTTGCTACAGTTTTGGGATATTTTGTTGAAATTTACTACAGCGACAGCAGTGTTTTGTGCCAAGGACGAACGCTATTAAAAATGATTTGGATCGGTGCACTTTTTCGCTCAACTTTCCATATAACGCCCTATTCTAAAAAGACGAAAATCCTGGTCCTTTATAGAGCGGAAATGTCAAAGTTTTAATATGTTATGATGAAAAGTGAGCCATGATAGCAATTCCGGCGGGGGGGTGGTGTATTTAATGGCCGGTTTTTGTTTTATTATTGTTTAGTTATTAAATAAAAAGTAAAAAATGAACTTTGGAGATCGTTTTTCTAATAAGACTTTTTTGATTAATTCCCCCTTTTATTTGTTATCTAAATTTGTTATCGCGCAGAGCACCTGCTGCGTCTCTCAAACAAACATCAAAGTGAAACCATATTGTTCACTTCCGTTTCAATGAATTATTTCTTTATTACCATACGTATTCATAAGCAATATGCTTGCTTTGCGCCAAGGTACACATAGTATACGTACAGTTATCATAGCCAACGCGAAACCATTAAAGCAAAAACACCTTTTTTTTTTTTTCTCTTTTGCTTATTTTCTTTTTCACAATTTAAACCTAATTTACATAACTTTTTTTATATGGTTGAGTAAATTGAATTGTAGTCATAATTTTATATAATATATTTTAACCAAACTTGTAACCAATTACGTCACGCACAAGTGAATTCAGTTTAGGATTTAGCAAGTTAAGCCCTTCCGTTGACAAGACACTTCTCAATAATTGCTATATTGCGGACTGCAAGACCCCAAAAAAGGTAAAGGAAGTATTAGTTGCCTTTAAACTGATTTCCTCTCAAGCAGGAAAGCGTAAACATATCGATTTACGTTAAATTACGTCGTCATTTGTTCAAATGCATGGTCTATACATACATACATACATACATACATACATACATACATACATACATACATATGTATATAAGATATGATGTTTATAGTCTATAAAAAAGGGGGAGGTAGAGCAGTCTTCATACTGTGTCTTTGGCGAAATATTCAGTTCGGCTGGATGCTGGATGCTGGACGCTGGATGATTGGATTAAAATTCGAACATTCGGATGCCCGCGACATTGGGTTTTAAGGTGACGATGTGTAGCATGCGCGTGTACAAAACATGCACTAAACAAACGAGCCATTAAAAGTGTAATGAATGTAAGCAGCGATCAAGTTTACCCTACAGATCCCTACAACATGTAGTCTCACTTTAATGTTTCGCATCATTTAAAAACTAAGTGATTTAAGGCGATTAAGGCGATTATCATACGCAAAATTATTCTAAATAAGCAGCAGCCTGTCGTTTCTCGGGCCGCGAGAATGATAATCAACCACAATTTCTTCAATCACAACGTGTGACTGTTGGGTATGGAAATTGTCGCTATAGCTGATGTAGACGAAATTCATTTTCAAGAGAATAACGTCACCTGTCACGAAGCTCGTGAACACATAGCTCTATAGGATTTCGCGAAACTGAGCGCCGAGATTATGGCATCTTTTTTTCTTTATGTCGTTATGATGTTAAAGATAAAATCAATCAATGTCAATACTTGAACAATAATTAAAGCTTTGAAGCACAATACCAAGGCAGTTAAAGCAGAGAAAACGCTGTCGTTATTATGTTTACACCTGATGATGAAGAATTTAATTAAAATATTATTTTGTTGTCCTCACATTATTAATGCAAAGAAAATGTTATCACTTTCTACACTTACAATTGGGTAGCGGTCACCGTGATAATAAAAGCTTTTCAGTCAGTCTTGTCAGTCTTGGCTGTTGCATCTTCGCTTGATTTGATTATTTCGCGGTAATAATTTGCGCGCGTATGAAATGAATTCTCTTATTGCGAGACACTATATGCCCCGATTTCTTCTATTTTCCAAATAAAAGTTTTTATCGTGCAGACGTGTAGATGTTGTAGCAGAGTTTAAGTCATTTTTAAATAATTTTGCGACTTTTATCACAAATACTACACAGTTGCGTAGACAGGCAGATGAATACACGAACGGACGGACGAGCATGCTTAGGTGCATTCTTAATTTGAAATTCGCCAAAAATTTATAGACTTTATTGGGTTGGTGAAGCTTGTTTTTGCACGTTACAAAATTATTGAAAAATGCAATATTGGGTAGGCGTGGTTAACTTTCTCCATTTTACTACACAAATGCTAGACCATCGCCCATAGCATATGCCTTCAAATTGTTGTGCATTTATTTGCTAAAGTTTCTGAGTAAGAAGCATAAAACCAATTTTACATTCCTTTTAAAAAACAGACGAGTTCGCAGTTTACGTGATGCTGTGGGCGTGTCTTTCGATCGATTTCATCGCTTTTTCAATACCAACCTGAGCGCAAGAACTTCCAATGTGTCTGCCATGTTTGAAGTCGATGGCTTCATTTTTGCAGCCAGGAGAACAGACATTACGCAGACGGAGAGACGGACATGCTTCGATATATTTTTGGCAAAATTTTAAAATAATAAAATATTTGAATTTTTGCCCTGCCCTGCTTGGAATCGATTCAGAATTTGTTGCTACTTAAGAATATCTTAGCCGCTATAGTATGTCCAAAGTTCGCCTCAAGGATTTGTAATTTGTGCTGACAAAACAATTATGTCGCTAAGCAGTTGGAGTGTTGAATATAGAAAGGTGAAGCAGAGAAAATTATAACTTTTGTCGTTAATTGCATATAAAGAATATATGTGGAAAGTTTAGAGTGATTTTCGAATTTGATCTAAAAGAGATAAGAGTGAATAAGAAAATTTTTCCGATCATTGTTAGAATTTCAAACTAAAACCTTAGTCTGCGATTCACGCTGCTTTGTGACTTTGAACTGTACTTAATCAAGTCTTTCCGCAATACATTTCTTTGCATTAAAAATTATTTTTTTGAAATCTTCACCAAACTACTTTCGTCTCCAGAATCTCTCTCTGTAAATAAGTTCACCTTAGAGTAGTGGTTGTAATAATTGTAAACCATTCGGTCTCTAAAGTTGACTTCGACAATTATATTTCAATTTTTATGGATTGATAGATTGATTGATTGATTGATTGATTGATTGATTGTGAGGGAAAGAGTCTTCTTCTTACTTTTGTTTTTCTAATGTGTTTTATATTATTTTATTTTTTTCTTTTTTTTTCTTTCTCAATTTCTCTTTTTAGAGCAAATAACAATTGGCAGACGAACTTCGCTTCAATAAACAAATCGAATGAGAATTCACCGCAGACTAGTAAAAAGCAACGGGATTGTGGCGAAACTGCTCGAGATAGTTTAGCGTATTCGTGTTTATTAAAAAATGAATTACTCGGTACCGCAATTGAGGATGTGAAAGCCGTTAGCGATGAACGTAACGAAAACACTTACACACCTACTACAAAACGTAGTCTATTCAAATATCAATCGCCTACGAAACAGGTAAGAAATTACAAATTTATATCATTATTGTATGTAACGATGATAATCATAAAACTTGTTACTTACTATTCATTCGGGAAAATTGTCGTGCAATGTGCATGCGTAGGGTGGGCTATAAGTAAAATTTACTTATTTGTTATGTCAGGGGAAGTGATTTCTTTTTCTTTATATACATTTTCCTTCACGTATCATAAATTATTCAAATTTAATGTTATTTTCGCGCTGATTGTTTTTCTTCTTTCTTTTGGTTTTTTTTTTGCCTTTTTGCTTGAGCATGTGTATGCGAAAGATGTGGTCGGTCTGCTGTTACGGTTGGTTGGTTGGCTGTTTTTTTTTTTTTTCTCTTATAGTTTTGTTGATTGTCTTTATAAGAGTACATACATTTATGTCTCTATGTCTGTCTTTCTAGCTACTATCTTTTTCTTTTTTTCATTTTGTTTCTCAATTATTTTGTAATTATTTCTTATCTGAGCTCTTGATATTTTTATTCGATTCCTACGCTCATATTTAATTTCAAGTACTCCTATGGATTGTTAAGTACGTGGGCTATGCATTAGTAAACCTATAAATTATTCATTTCTTCTTCTTCTTCTTCTTCTTTTTCCTCTTCCTCTTTCTCTTCTTCTTCTTGTTCATCTTCTTTTTTTTTTTTGTTTTGGTGGAATTTTTTTGCTTTCGCTTTTAAAGCCATACATAAGAACGAATATAAAATTAATTTAGTAAGAAAACTGAATTGAAGGGAATTTTCGATGCCCATCAAGGTCGATGTGTGTTTATAGGCGTCGTAGGAAAACTTAACAGTTTTGCTTATTTTGAAACTCATATTAAGAAAAATCACGAAAATAAAAAAAAAAAATTTCTAAATTTTTTTTCGCTTTGTCTCCTTGCAATGGTACGTGGAAATCGATTAAAAGTTAATAGAACGAATTTTTTGACAAATAAAATCAATTAAACAACATTTCTTTTTTTTGTTCCTTTTTTGTAGTTTTTTTTCAATATATTTTTATCATGATTCTAATCTGTAAAGAGACTTTCCTTTGAATAGTAAAAATAGGGTAATTATGCTAACTGCAAATGTAATAAGTGAAAACACTATAGTGGATTAAGGCTTACCATTAAAAACAGCTACACTAACCTACAGTTCTTCAAAATAAAGCGTTATATGGAAAGTGGTTGAAAAAGTGATCCGATCCAAAACATTTCGAATAGCGTTCGTTCATCAATATATCTTAAAAACTGCAACTGGTAGGTTAAATACATGAAAGTGATTCTGAATTGATCGGTATATTATAAAGGGTCGATCTATCTCTAGTTATTTTGGGTGTCGCATACACCCGCCCAAAACTAATATACCCTTATATCATACATGGCATAGAGTATAAAAGCGAAAATAATCGTTTTGTTTGCAATGATTTGTCTTATTGTACTCCGCTATGGGTCACCATTTCGCATATAGAACAACAAGTCAGATATAATTTTTGACATAGCGTTAGCCAAACGCTAGGAAATATCTTGTGTGAAATTCTCCAAAAATGCGATTTAAAAACGTGACGGAGTCGATTTGAAATTTTTTTTTTTATTTTTACAAAAAAAATCCGATAGCGATAATATGATACTTTGTTCCTTCGTTCGATAAGAAGAACTTTTACCATGTAGGAGGTCAATTAATGATATCTTCTGCTTCCAGAAATTGTTTTAGTGTTTCCCAAATCCTTGTAAGGATTTGCATTCATTTGCCTTAGTGAAAAATAAGTAAGAACATTATAGTCGAGCAAGACCGATCATTAAATACCCTACACCATATTGTCTAACAAAAAAATTATATTTTGTTTCGATGTCAAGGCATATTATTCATGTGCGTATTTATGGGGAAAGCAGGCTCAAAACGTAACCTTTTATTTAGTATAAGTTTAAACCTTACATTTGCGTTTTATAGAATTTTTTAGTTAATATTTTACCAAGCGATAGTCCTGACGCTTACATACGGACGGTCAGTCTGTCATGGTTATAAACAGTCATTGGTTGTTTAGTACTGAGGTACAGATGTCTCTAGGTGCTTAATGTGGATAACTGCCGTGAAGGCTTAACCCCACGGTGCCCGATGGCACACGGAGTGTGAAAACGCACACTTATCGCCCCGAGCAAAACCTCGAGTTCCAGTGAAGATACATATATGGGCGTATCTTCCCCCTGGTGAGGGCAAGTCACTATCTAAAACCTTTGTCTTTCTTTGGATCAGATACCCGGTTGCTATGCAACACCACGTCGAGCCGAGGCTCTTCCCGCGATTTGGGTCAACCACAGCCACCACGAAACTCGCGCAATGGGCCGTTCTCGTTAACAGGCCGAAGCTAGAAAATTGCTTCGTCACCCGTCATCCGTGGTACCGTGGATATAAAGAGAAAAATAAGTTATGAAAGAAGAGTATGAAAGCCTTCGATCACACTTTAGCATCAGATCCCATACAACCTGAAAACTCGGTATGCGATAGCATCTGCAGATGAAGCTGCAGTAATAGTAAACCAGTCAATATAATGGGCATGGGCGTTGCATTCTCACTGGACGGAGAAGGCCTATCCCAACCTATTCCAAGTACTGAGGTACAATTAGTTCCTTTGCTCGGTAAGCAATTTGATTTGAAGCAAACAAACCTATGGATGTCCCGCGCGATAGTCTAAACTAAAGCACAGCGAGCGCCGGGAAGAATCTGCGATCGAGCGGCCGGCCAATTAAATGTTAAAAAATAATGGATATCGACGATTTAATGTTGTTGGAAACTTGAAGAGAATTTGCTTTCAATTTTAAATCACTGCTTGAGAATCCTTCTGAAGGATATTATTATTATTAGGTGAAGGACACATTTTAATTTGTGTGAAGGAGGTAATTGAGTGTAATTAGTGTTACAAGTCTTCCTAAGCATATGTTGCATACCGTTCAACATTCTCTCGATCTATTTATTCTCTAATCTATATAGTTAGAGGGTATTATTACGCTAACTTTTTGATGGATTCTTGTTCGTCGTCGCGTTATTTAAGTCCATGAGACATGATGAGTTCTTTACAAATCTTTAAAAAATGGAATGGGAATTGATGACGATGATGAAGAGTAAGACAATAAGGTCTTCATTAGAAATGTTACTGAACAAACTTTTTTCGATCTATCGTTTCTTTTCTTTTCAATGCGCTACTTGCTTGCTTATGTTAGTTACTCTTTATCCATATTAAGCAAACTGCAAATAGTCATCGCACCACACTATTATTTATAACGGTAATTAACGACAAATAAACGACATCACTGTGTATGTATGTATGTATGTATGTGCCAGAGCGCACGCGTGCATGTGTATGAATGTATGTATGCGCGCGCGCGCCTGTTTGGGTGTGTGTGTGTGTGCAAACAAGTTTGTTGATCTTTTAAAATGCACAACGGTAAATTAAACGCATCAGGAAGTGAATACAGATACAGAGAGATTGCAGAGAGAGCGAAACACATGCATATGCATAAAAGAGAATTGCAATTGTTTATGTAAATGCTTTTTATACAAATATGTAAATGTATTTGTACATCATCGTCATAAGCAAATCAATTCAAAATTGTTTACTATTACAAGAAAGTGCGGTTAGAAAACCAGCACGTGTATACATGTGTTGCTCTGTTGTATATTATGTTGTTATTGTATGTATCTTTTTATTATTGTCTTATAGAAAATAGAAAAAAACAAAAAAAAAAAAAAAATGGGGGAAAAAAATGAAGAGGAAAACTAGATTTCAGCTTTTACCAGCAAAAAAGTACAAATACAACATACATAGATAGTTAGATAGATGATGATAATGATGATAATGATGATGATGATGATGATGATGATGATGATGATGATGATGATGATGATCATAAAGGAACCAGTTTTTCTAGTGTGATTTTTATGTTAATCATTCCTTTTTCTTTTTTATAGTGTGATTCATACTACTTTGACGTAAGGTCAGTGTTCTTATTATTAAAACTGCTAAAAACTGGAATATCTTTTTTTTTTGCTTTTCTTTTTTTTTGAATAGCATTTTAAATAAATATCTAAATTAAAAAATTATAGATAATATTTAAACAGGTGAAATTGCTGAATAAATTTAGCGCACAGAATATTTAATTAATGCCACGAAAAAAAAAAAAAAAAAAAAAAAAATTTAAACAAATTTTAATAAAGAAAAAAAAAAAAGTTTATATGGATATTTGGATTTGGAAATATTGAAGGAAGAAAGAAATATCCAAAAGAATCAGACAGAGAGGATAGAGGATAGAAAAAATTATGCAAAAAGAGAAAGCTTATCATGTGCAAAGGAAAATAGGAAAAGAAGGGAAGCAAGGAAAGTAAGGGACGAAGATATGAAGAAGGAGGGGAGGAAGAAACGAAAAAAGGAGGAAAAAATTGCTCGAAAGAATCAGAGAGAATAACTATAAAGAAGAGAAAAGTTTTTGATGTACGAAAAAAAAATGGAAGAAGAAAGAAAGAAACGAAAGAAAAAGATCAAGAAAAGAAGGGAAGAAGATGTGAAAAAGAGACGAATAACGGGGGGAAGAAACGAAAAAAGGAGGAAAGAAAGAAAGAAGGAAGGAATAAAGAAAGAAAGACAAAAGATTACGAAACGAACCGAAGAAGGGGAAAAGGGAGTGAAAATAGAACGAAAGAAGAACCGCAGTGAGTACAACAGGTTGGTACGTGTGAGGGAAGCAGCGATAGGGAAAGCTTGATAAAGGATGAGAATGAAATGCAAAAAGCAGAGAAATGACAAATAAATTATTGGAAGGAATTAGAAAGAGAACTGCAGAAGAAGCTATGCCTTCTCCGTTAAAACCTTTTCAAATTTCATAGGTAGATAGATTCTTCTAAGGGTGTGAAGATAAATTCGAATTTAACTAGTAAAGACACCTACCATTTCTGTTAACATACCTCTGTTAACGACTTAACAGAGCTCATGTTAAATAATTACAATTAAGATATAGTTGGT